ATGGTTGAGATTCGTACGAAATGTGCCATTTTGTAGTTCAATCATTGGATTAAATCCTTTTCTTTTTCTTCTTTCCTACCAAATGGAGTGCAAGTTTTTTATTTCTCAAGCTAATCTTACATTTTATCAACCCGAGCAATACCTTATCAGTTTGGAATTTTAAAGTTCAACAATGTGCAGCAGTTGCTTGATATTTGTTTTAGGGACAACTTTACAATAAAATACAATCTTGCTTGCAATTATTTAATTATTTGGTTTTCTTTCTAAAGTCATGTTACGAATGCCTATTTAAAAATTCTTAGACTCCATGTTATAGATTGGATAGCTTTTATCCTATATACTCAAGGCTTTAATGGGGTTGATATTACGAAAATTTGTTAGCATGCATGTAATTGTGCCATCAAAGAAAACATTGAAAAGGTATGATTATGTCTAAAGAACACAAGGAAGAGAAAAAGAAAAAAGTAATTATTGTTGATAAAAATGAAGTTCCAAGTAATGGGAAAATTGAGGAGAAGAAGATAAATAGTTGTGATGTATCAAAAGGTAAATAGGTTTATGATGAGATCTATCTTCTATACACAAATGGATCATGTCCTTTCATTAATGAAGGTTTTAACTGTATTAGTAATGGAAGGCACAATAGAAATTACATGAAGTAGAAATGGCAACCACAAAATTGTGATTTTCCTAGGTAAATTTGATTTGCTTTATACTTTTTTCTTGGATATGCGCATCCTAGCAATTGCTATGGTAAATAATGGTTTTTGGTGTGGGGCTCTGCTTTAGGTTTAATACTACAAAAATGCTGGATTTGATCCAAGGGAAAAAACTAGTCTTTATGGGAGATTCAATTAATAGAAACTAATGGGAATCCATGCTTCGTTTGTTAGAAGGAGCTATAAAAAATCCAAAGAAGGTCTATGAAACTCATGGGTGAAGAATCACCAAAGAAAAGGGAAATTATAGCTTTAAATTTGTGGTAATTAAATAATTATTTAAAGTTTATTTGCTCTTTATTTCACTTACCCTAGAATTTTGAGTATTTAACTATTTGGGGTAGTTGATGTGTTGGGCTTGTTTCTGCAGGAATATAAGTGTATAGTTGAATACTATGTTTTTCACTTTTTAGTACACGAGAGCAAGGCAAGAATAGGGTAAAAGCGGGAAGCCAACTTTGCAAATTGATGCCATTGATAATGGTTCATCAAAATGGAGAGGAGTTGATATTTTTGTCTTCAACATTGCGCATTGGTGGTCTTATTACAAAACAAAAGTCAGGTTAGTGCCACTACATTATCATACAGTGAATCTTCAAGAAAACCTAGGCTAGTACTCTCTAAAGTTGTAGTGTGATCTTCTTTTCAAGGTTCCAATCCTGCATTAACTATAAGCTGGAGAGTTTAACCAATATCTCCTTTTTATTAGGAAAGCATGTTAAGCTATTCTTTTAAGAATTAGGATGACATTACTGTGATATGTATATGTGAGCTAAACTTTTATATGCTGCTGTAATTTAATGTCTTCTGGCAATTTCTATATCTTAAGATCAACTATTATCAAGAAGGAAACTGAGTACATCCTCGACTTGATGTCTCCACAGCCTTCAAAAAAGCTTCGATAACATGGGCAGCATGGGTTTACGACACATTAATCCAGGCATAACACAAGTTTTCTTTCGAAATTTAGCACCTTCCCATTTCACGTTTGCTGTTGTTTATGCTGCTGTGAACTTTCCACTCTTTAACATATACTTATATAGATTACTAAGTAGGCTCTAATCATTCATTATATAAAGGAAGACAGTGGAATTTAGGTGGCCACTATATGGAAGCTGTTTGGCCCCTTGATTACACTTCAGGCATGATATACCCTAAGAAAACAAAATTGTGGAGGAGGTCATTTTGCAGATGAAAACTCCTGTAACATTGCTGAATATGACTGGTTTACCAGTGTACAGGATAAATGGTCATCCATTAATATACAGTGACCTTGATAGCTTGATTGACCTAGATCTCAATAGTAATGGTTTGTTAAGGTTGGTAACATAAGATTTTAGAAGGCTAAGAAATTTGTAGAGAAATGATCTTCAGGAATAATGGTCTTGACAAATTGTTCCTTGCTCCAAATCAATTGCAGATTATAGTATTTTTATAATTAAAACAAGTTCGCAGCATAGTATAACCTGCTGGCTAGTGTTTAACATTTCAAATAGAATGAAAGTTTCCCAAATTGAATTAAGAATTCATGTTTAACCATTTCTACCTTCCCAACATGCAGTTTTTTCAACTCAGAAGTCAAATCCTAGCTCTAAGCAAGTAGTTTGAGTTGACAATTAATCATGAGGATATTACTAGGAACTTTCTCCTGTGGACTGCTATTATTGTCACGTGCTGAGAAATTCTGTCTTTTTAGATTGTTATTCCGTACCAAACCATTGTTTTTTCCCCTACCAACCAGTATGAAAACCAAGCCACTTTCTTACCTCAAGAGAGAAGAAATGAAAAATCGAAGGAAAGAAAAGAACACCTTCTAGTGAAAAAAAAAAATAAAGAGATATTTTGTTAAATATAATAAAAACAAATGAATTTAATAGAACAATAGATAAAATAAAATAAAAATAATGTGAAATAATATAATCCTATTTAAATTTTGTGAATTATTGAAGAGTAAAAAGAAAATATAAAAAATTTTCATTATAGATTTATTATTAAAATCTTAGTTCTCCAAATAAGGTTCATTTAAATTTATTTTTCTAATTAAGGTATTTCACGTCAATTCATTGCCATATCTCTTTTTTTTTTACAAAGCAAAATCTTGATACACAATTGATTACTCCATCACCATCCATCTGTAAATCTGCAAGTAAGGAATACATAGGATTTACGTGAAAATGCAAATGTTTGAAATTGCATTTGCAAAGCACTGCTCCAATTACAAATCTAAAGTTTTTTTTTTTTTTCGATAGAATATATTATTAACCCAAAATCTTAAAATATTTACTGTAATTTTGTCAAACTAATCATTTTTTTTCCTCAAAACCAATCTCAAAAAATGAAAATCGCCAAATAATAGAAGGAATAATTGGAATGGCATTGAAATGCGAAATCACCAAATTCTATTTTTTTTGGCCTTTATAAAAAAAAAAAAAAAAAAAGGGCTCTTCAATTTTTATTTTGCAACCTCATTCTCTTCCCCCAATTTCTTGATTCTATCTAGATTTGGATTCCCTCTTCCCCTCCCCAATTTGAAGTTGTATTTTTTTCCTTTAATTGATGGAAAATCTGAAGGATGGAGTTGGTGAGACTTTCCCTCTCTTCCCTATAGTTGTATCCAAATTTGATGATTCATTGGTAATAATGAATAATGCTTATATGTGCTTTCTTTCTGTTACAAATTCAATCAAAAAAGAAACAAACCAAAGAAGCAGAAGGGCGTGAACAAAAGGTTCGCTTGGATTTTGAAATGTCCTAGACGTTTTTCTTGGATTCAACAAAATTTTAATCCAAGTATTATCTTGTTTAAAAATACTAAAATAAGCATACATATTATAATAATTACATAGTTAATGATTTCAATATTATTTAAAGATAATAATTTTTAAATATTAATAATATCTTATTTATTTCATAATAAAATATAATTAAATTATAAAATTAACAAATATATTTATGGATAGATAAGCTCATTTTTATAATATAAATTACATAAAAAAATCATTTAATTATAAAATAAAACTAATCTATTAAAACAAAAAATATATATTATTTATAAAACATTTAAAAAATACATAAATTATTATTTGAAATGTCTTATTTTTTAGCGATTGGACAATCATTATATTTCAAGTTTTCAACCCAAATTATCTTTTGGTATCCAACAAAGCCATCGTTTCTTTAAGAAAAAAAAATACGAACTTAAAAAATATTAATGTATTATAACAGAATTCATGTTAACAATGGAACAAAAGAATTACATCCATCGTAGAGTCACTTTCTTTTTTATTAGATAAATGAAATTTTTTATTTCAAAAACTCAAAGAAACAGAGCAAACCTCTGCTAGAAGAAATATTGAAATAATAACAAGAACAAAAAAAAAAAAAGTACAGCCAACAATAATTTGACTTATTCCCCTACTATTACAGAGAGCATTGTTTGAATACGTAATGACTATATTAGAGCAAACTGGAACAAAAATGAACCCACTGCAACAACTTATTGAAACACTTCTTCGGAGTTTGTTTGTATGCTTCCTTGAATTCCACTACCTCCAAATATAACAAATAGGTGCTCTGCTTGCAAGCTTGAGTAGAATAGAAATCTACTCAGCAAGTGTTTCCAGGAAAAAATTCAAATGATAATCCAGAGTTTTTGGATGTGGGTGAAAATTTATTGGGAATGAGAGAAGGATTTTACATTGTAACAAAACATTAAACAATAATGGTTAATAGATGTAGTGAGGGAAAGGAAAGGTCAGAAAATGAAAAATGAAAAAAAAAAAAAAAAAAAAGCCAACTTCCATGTAGACAACCAGATCATGTAGACCGGAAAAAAGACTAAAAGTGTTTGGAAACAATTTATACGAGGTTTTAGAGTTTAGAGGTGAAATTTGTGAAATTATTTATTAAAAATGAATAAACAAAAATTAAAAAATAAAAAATTTTATCACATAAATCAAACGTGTAAAATTTAAAAATATTTTAATAAATTTGATATATTTATTAAATAGATATTTTTAATAAAAATATTAATAAAAATTTTTTTCTTTAAATAAATATTGATCAAATTTAAATTATAAATAATATTTTTACCAAATTTTTTTTGTATTATTCACTTTCATATTAAACTCTATAAATTTATCAATTTGAATTTTTTATTAAAATTTTTATTAAATCATTTAAAAAAAAAAAACTCAATAAACGACTTCATTTAAATAACTTTATGCAAATTTTGTCGAAAGTGCCATGCTTTGGAATAAAGATTTTAATATTCACTGACGTAGGAAAAAACTCACCCTTAAAGTGCTTTTACTATTTTCAAATCACGTATTTAAGACTTTACAACAATTCCAGAGAGAGAGTTGCACATCTCGACCAACCCCAAAATTTCTGAACAGCACTTGTATGAACAAAACTTCTGAATGCTTCGGTGGTATGATCTCAAACGGAAAATGTTACGGTTGTGATGGGAAACTTATAAGTTAAAAGCATGAATGATTCGTGAGCGCGGAGTCGATCATTTCCACAAATTCCATTGCCAGGAGTCACAGTTCAACTAAAAAATAGTTTCTTGTTTTCTCAAAATCTAGCTCATTCTTACATTAATATACTGAAGAATTACCTACAAGTACTGACACATCCATCAGCTTCTTTAAGGAACAGGTTGTTTCTTTGATCATCATGCTGACTGAGATTTACCGTAGAAATATGATAAGCTTGTAAGACAATATATATTTTTTCGTATGAAAGTCCCTTGTTCAGCCAGCACGCTGGCTGGTGGGAGACAAGTTTCCTCTCTCGCTACTGAGATCATTGTCTTCCATTTCAATCCCATCGATACAGAAGGAATTATTGTTGACACTTGGCTCGGAGCTAGCATTGCTGCTTGTGGCAAGAGGAGAATCAGAAACACTAATTGTCCTGCTCTTTGTGGATCCTGATCTCACACTATATATGGAGGAAGCTGGAACATTTGTCATAAGAGGACGCTGATTACCTGAAATACGCCTGATATCCTACAAGAAAAGATCAAGATATATTAATGATAGTTAAATCCCAAACAAGAACAGTACTCAATTATTGAAGCATGCAACAGTAAAGAAGTATAGGTACAATTCATCAGGTTAACAAAAGATGAATACCATGTGTCTCATAGCCATATCTAGAGACTTTTTTGAGAGTGTTCTCCCAAACCCTGAGCTGTCGAGAGAGGTAGATAACTTTGTAGTAGGATTATTACGAGGATTATCATCTTGTTTTGGGGGTACCAGTTTCCTCATATTTACAACTCTCTCAACCATTTTTGTTCCCATCACTACTGGACTCTCGTTGTCACTACCACCAGCATCCGCTCTACGCACAGAACGAATGGAGCTCCCATTACCAACACTGCCACTTGATGCTCTACTTCTAGCAGGAGAGCAGGATTGACGTCTTGCTCTTCCATTAGAACTGGCCTCAACCGAAGATGATCTAACACCAGGTGCTCCTGGCCTCCCCCGTGAGGCTGAAGCTGGTCTTTCTGGCAAAGATGTTCTTAAATTTGGTGGAGTATCAAGTGAAAAACCAGGCATCTGAGATGGTTTCCAAGGCCTAGATTTTACAGTTGGAGAAGCGCCCCGTGATGGTACTGAATTTTTTGATGTTGTGGGAACTGATTTTGTTACAGAAGACGTAGCAGGAGCTGATTTTGGTACTGAAGAAGTGGAAGCTGATCTTGTTACTGAAGAAGATCGACCAGAAGGTGCAGCTGCAACAGGCATACAAGATGAGGAAGTTGGTCGACGTGTTGGCGTAGCTGACCTTGATGTCAACTTCGAAGCAGGCAAAGAGGGTCTAGTAGTTGGTGTGGAAGAACGTGCAGTGGATCTAGTTGGAGTTGAGGATCTTGATGTAGAAGCAGTAGGTTTTGTGGAAGGCAAGGTGGCTCGTGATGTAGGTGTAGAAGACCTTGAAGGCTTTGTTGCTGTGGATAGAACGGGTCGGCCAGTAGGTGTTGCAGGTCTACTAGCAGGCTTTGGACCCCCCGAAGAGGATGGCCTTTTATTAAGAGTACTGGAAGAGTTTAGTCCGGCGGAAGGAGTTTGTTGCTTTGGTGCTAGAGTGCTCTTTGAAGCAGGTTCCACCGGGAGATTTGCCAGCTGAAACCCCAAGGAAAAATAAGTTTGCAAGATATGACAATAGGAAAGCTCTAAAAATCTCTTGCAACCAGAGTTGACAAATCCAGCAACTGTAATAACTTGACAACCAGATAAAGCTGAAACAACAAATGCCAAAGATATCTAATGCTCCTGGCAGGACATGACTGAAACTGAAATCTATATTACAACTTAATTTTGCCAATCTGCAGAGGCTGATCACAGCAGAAGAAAAGGGATGAAAGCATCCAGAACTCAAATCATACAAGAGTTCTTACCCTTGTTTTCAAAGCAGCGGGACGAACATTAGACATCCCAATTTGGCTCATTAGTGTCTTCTGTGATTCCATCTCCAAAGAGGGAAACAGCGGTGTACCGGGTGGAGTAAGAAGCCTGCAGGAAAAAGATATCTTCCATTAATACAAAGCAAAGAAACAATTCAATATTGAATCACATCACATCATCATGATTGGTATGAATTCCATGTGAAACAGTAAATGTCAACTATCACCCATGTATGCTTCAGCGTATTTTTGTTGTCAAAGCATTAAATAATTACTCAGTTTCAAAAAAATAAGTAAGCTTTTCCACTTTTAGAAAAATATAATCTTTAACAAATTACATTTTAATGGCAACAGCAGCCAAAAAAAAAGTTTTTAAACGCTAGTAAGAAATTTTCCATTTAGAGCTACTAGTGACAACATCCAACAAAAGGCACAATGTTATATTGAGAGAAGATTAGCAGAGGGAATGGATCATAATGCCCTTAGAATTATTATCATTGCTGAAGCAGCAAACTTAACAGTAGTATTAGCCCATATCCTTCACTTAAAAAGTTAAGCCATTGGGTTTAGGGACAACTATGAACGGTAATATCCAATCTTTGCACTCTAAAGTTTAAAATAAAAGCAAATGAAATTCTTCATTAAATAAAAACCCTTTATGTCAAAATGATAAGTTTGCAAAAAGCAAGTGGAGGCTTGATTTCAAAGATTCAAAATGATGCCAAGTTCTTCTCTTTATGGAACCACACCTCTTTCTCTCTTAAAAGGAAGCTTTAAGATCAAATCAAATCATTGCTCCTTATATTACTGAAGTTTGTTCACGCAAGCTGCATTCTTTTCATTTAAAAACGCAAAAAAGGAAATTTTCTAAGCACGTAGATTCGATAATCAAAAACTCAGAGCTCATTAGTTATTGGAACTAATAAACAACACCATTGCTATAAACAGAGATCGATTTTAAATTCTCAGCTGAAAAAGTAAGGAAAAAAAAATCAAATAAGAAATCACTGGATCGATGAATCCTGTAAGAAATCAACCAAAACAGAGAGATAAGTAGAGATATCTTTAGCATTTACCAATCATAATCAGACTTTTCATTCTCCGAATTCAAAAAATTATCAGCTGCGGTCTTCCGTACAGGCACAGCCGAGACAATCTTCGATATCGGAGAAACGCCGCCGCAGCCGTTTCCGTTTACGTTGACGTTAGATCCTATACAAATCCGAAAACATCACTTTAGTCAACGGTCAACAGACAAACAAATAGTTGAAAAAACTTCAGCTTCCACAAGGAAGAACCTTAAAAACGAAGTCGTATCATTTTACCTAAAGGAACATTGAGTTCTTCAGAGTTGTGAAGTGAGAGAAGATTGTTGTTCTTCTCTTTCTCCTTCTCTCGTCTCCTCATTTCCAGGAACAAAGCTAGCTCTTCGTCTCTCTCTTTCATCACCATTTTTCGATCTCTATCTCAAAACTGATCAATCGCACCAAAAAAGTCACGAAATCCTCTGTTTTAGATCCAAAACTTAGCTTTCAAAGCTACAATAATGGAAAAAAAGAAAAGAAAAGAAAAGAAAGGTTGGTTCAACGAAGCAAAGAACTTGTTAGTTATTACAAGTTTACAACTTCATTCCAGTGTGAAAGAGGGAAATATTTAATTTTTGAAGAAGAGTTTTTTTTTTTCTTTTTTATTTATTTTTTTTTTTTGAGTGATCTGACAGTGAACAGGTGTCGGGTGTTAGTTCAGAGGAAATTTGAAAACTTGAGAGATGAAACTAGCAGATACTTCTGGCGAAGTTGAATTCAAAAACTCAGGATATCTCGAGATAAACGATAGTCAATCGGACGGCCCTGAGGGAAACTCATGACAATGGGCCTTGTGAATCGAGCGGTTTAAACTCGGCACCTAGCATTGCCAATGCATCTTTAGTTGTTGGGCCCCCTCCCCCACTCAAAATGTCAGCAAATGTTTTTTATTCCATATATTTGGAAATTTGGAAGGGGAGCTTCCAAAACCCAAATGTTTGAAAATGTTTTCATTTTCTTTTTTAATGTGAATTTGTTGAGCATCTAATTATTTACCGGCTCCAATCTTGTTTATTAAATAATTGAACACATTTTTCTGGTAATTTTTGGTTTCAACAAAACGACAAATGCAACTGTGATTTGAATGTAAAACTTAATGCTGTTGATGCTACCAAACCTTATCTGAATGTAAAACAACAGACTTTAACGCCAATTATCGTTGCTTTCAACAGCATTAAGTTTTTAATAATCTACCAGCGTCTTCATCTACTGCTATCAATTTCTTAGCCTTCTTTAAGTCTTCTGTGATGCCGAGTCCATGCCTCCATGGGAGCAGTAGATTAATAAAAAATTAAAAAGGAAAAAGGCAGAAAACCTTATTTTAAGCCGCAATTAAAGAGCAAAATTGATGATAGATGTCGAACCAGCCATTGGTTTTTTAGCCTTATCTGTCAATATCTAGCAATACAAACCCCGTGCTGATCACATGAAAAGCATCCTAGCTGCCCCATATCATTTTAGAACCCATCTGATAAGAGATTCATAATTCATCTCATCTCCTCCTCGTTTCAGGAGTGATTGAATTTATACGAAGCAATAGGCCTTAGCTGCACATGGGTCATGTGCCTGTCTAGACTTTTCCATGGTTGAGTGGGTCAGTGTCAGAGGAATGCAGGAGCAGGATGTTTATGAATACAAAGCACATGAGGCGGACATTCACAAAAGCTTTGAAAATTCGATCCCTTCTGGGCCAGGGTCATATTCAACTTCAATCCTGGCTATCTACCAAGGGAGGACAATAACATATTGAGATTTACCCTTTCCATTCTAAAATCATGCTTAGAAAAAGCACCAAAAAATCCACATGATATGCTGGTTGAAGAGATATACCGAATCAAATAATATCTTTACTACGATCTTCTTGAATAAAGACATTGAAAGTAAAATGCACACAAACAAAAAAAAAAAAAAATTGGCATTGAATGTGAACCAAAACTACATGGGTCAAGCCCGGATTGCTTCTCGATAGTGTTTGTTTCTCTACTCAGGTGGGTTAGCCCAGAGACTTTGGAACCTTTATGTTCCCTATCGCAAGCATGTCATTGGGCCACCAGAACCTTAATTCAAGCAACAAAAGTTTTTACTACCATTCTGCCGTTTAACCCAAAGGGCACAACAATATAAAGGCAATGCCTCCAAAAAACCAGCATTTCAGAAACTAGCAATGATAGCCATGTGAAAAGTGCAAGATTTGCATTAAGATTTCATTAGCAAACAATAGCAAACAACATGGACTTAGAAGAATGGTATTATTCTAGTATTATTTGCAAAGAATGTTCAGCGACAGAATTTTTCCAATTTAAGAGGCCAAATAGAAGGCCAACAAGCACTTGCGATGCAGAGAATGTACAATTAAAACGTTTGGTCAAATGGCAAACTGGCAAACTGCATGGCAATCAAGCATCATCAGCATCACTCCCACTAACCAGAGCTTCATTACTCACCAAGTAATTGCTTCCATCAGGACCCAACACCTTAAACCTGCTCCACAGTTAAACTGACATTTGAGAACATTGAAATATTACATGCAACCAAAAGAAACAGTGATATGGCACCTCTCAAGAATGAATTTTCCCTCTTTGTACTTCTGAGTCTTCTCATGTGCAGACTCCTAGAGTCACTCACACCATTAGGAAAAGGGAAAAAAGTTCTATGAAATTAACTCATGCAACTAAGCCTTGACAAGAAATCAAACCAGCAAAACTCAAAATTGCAAAGCCAGTTCTTACATATTTCCATCCCACAATTGAGCCACACCCAACACAGAATATATCAACAACAGTATGCATTCCAGTCATCATCATGCGCTCTTCTTCCACTCCCGCTGTGATATTCACACTGTTATGCATTAAGAAAGAAAATATGTTATTTGAACCATTCGTCTCTGCAGAATGCATACGATTTAAGTAATGGAGCATGCCCCAAGACTCTCAAATCCATCATTGGCATTTTGCATTTGGCTACTCCATAGTTATTCTTGCAACAATTAGTATACTTCACTTATAATCTAGAGGTTAGACAAACAATATGCAGAATGAAGGGAAATCATAGAAAAGGGATTACCGATTTATTGATTATTAGCTGTCTGTTTGCCAGTGGGTTGTGTAGAATAGCAGGTAGCTGACTGGTTCAAATTGTTGATTTTTTAGTTGTTTATCACTAGAAATAAGATGAGCTCATTCGTTTTTATATGCAAATAACTAGAAAGGAAAGAAAAGGACATATCATACCACAATCAAAACCTTACTAATGCATAGTTTTCATTGATTGCAGCAAAGCATATATATGGTAATATATTAGAAACATAAGCATGATATTTTTAATAGAAAAGAATATTTCTAGAAAACACTGAACGTAGACAAAAATTGGCTTTATAGGGTACACGACAATGAAACACTTACACCTTATCAAAGAGATAAGCCTTTCCATGCCTGCAGTGGAAAGACTGAAACACAGGTAAAGGATGAGGTTAGTATGTGTCTGTGTTGCTGAACAATAGCTGATATAATGCAGAGGACATTGAAAAACATGACCATGATGAAGGGAAAGATAAGACAGAAAATCCATTCAGATTTTTGAGTAAGGAAAGGGTTATTAACAATATCACCCCACTTTCATATCTATCCTTTTTTCATCCATCGAGCAACACGATGGCTTTGCTGTTAGTGTATGCATTAAGCAAGAAGCCTCGTAGAATGATAATTAAGTATAGTCTATAGACAGTGGAACCAGTCAGACTGTATCACAATAAAATCAATGTTAATAATCAGGAAAAAGAAGGTGAGGTGGTTTTAAAACATACAATAATAATGTTAAAACTAAACATGATAGACTGATGTACAAACTGCTTCCTCCACTTCTTCCTTCTGTCTCAAATTTTTTTTGTTTCAAATTTACAATACCAATTACCAAACAACATATTAGCCATAAAACCGAATAACCCCCAATTCAACCAGTCAATGTCTATTTAGGAACTGATGCAAAATCAAAAGTGAAAGGAAGTTATATAATAGTTAGTAGTAACTTATTTTCTAGCACCAACAAAAAGCCTCCATACAATCGAAAGAGGCAGCTAAGTAAAGTCACTCTCATAAAGGCAGACGTGACGATTCTTAGACTTTCCCTCATCACAATGACTTCTTCATACATAAAAGCTGTAAGCAAATGTTAATCCCATAGTAACATCCATAATTGCAAAACGAAACAAAAATTACAATTGAATGTTATGTGCAACATTTCTGCTGTATTTCTATTATCAAAGAGAAACAGCATGACACATGGCATCCCTCGGAAAAACTTCAACAACCAAACCTAAAGAGGAATCAATCTGTTTCAGTTAAATCCGATTATGGGTTCAATCATTTTCATTATTTTTGATCCATTAGTCACAGATTTACAAATTTCAGATAAGCCAACAAAACTTGACGAAGGAACCCAGGATATAAAGTAACCCAAAGAAGAAACTAATGTATTTCACAAAGCAAAACAACAATGTAGAAAGAAAGACGTGAAAGAAGAACAAATATATCGAGACAGATCAAATTATTTTGTTAGCAAAAAGGAGAACCTTAGAAATAATGTCATCAAGGAGAGCAAGATGGGTATGGCAGTGCTTGCAGCTATAAACGCTTCCTTCAAGAGTGATCACAAATACCCTTCCCATTCTTTCTTTTTTTTTTTTTTTTTTTTCTTCTTTATGCAAGTATCAATCTATCTAAAAAACCTTTAAAAAAAAAAACAAAAACAAAAAACAATTCAAATAACTGAAAAAGAAAACAAAATAAAAGTAGAGGAAAATGGATCGAGAAACAAACCAAAACTGAAAGAAAAGTAATGGCGTACGTCTTACATATATGGTAAAGTACATTCTTTTTTCTTTTTTATTTTTAATAATAATTTTAATTCCTGAATCCAAAACGACACTTGTTGCATTGTCATAGTATTTCCTGTTATGATATTAATCACTCACACCAATAACATCTATATATGCTCTATATTAAAAGAATTCAGAGTTATGAAATTTAAGCAAATTTCATGATCATTGAATTATATCTTCATTCTTAAATGAGTCACTAAATTTCAATTTATATCAATAAAATTATTAAAATTTATTAAATATATAAAAATAATCACTTAACAGATTTTATCTAAATTATGCGATAAAAAAAATGATATGACTATCATCTTAGTGACACATCATCTGCCACATCAACTAAACTTGTCATATGACAACCTTTCAAAGTCTCCGTTATCAACAAGCTTGGGAAGCCTAAAATCAGCAATGTGGGGTTCAAATCGGGACCAATCAGAATGTTGTTGGCCTTGATATCCCTGTGAACAATGGGAGGAACATAGTCATGGGGTAGATAAGCCAAACCTTGAGCTACGCCCAATACAATTTGACATCTAGGCTCCCATTCCAAGCGGCTACCGCTGCGCTCATGAAGAAGACTACCCAAACTTCCATTTTCCATGTAATCAGACATAAGAAAATCTTGTGCTTCGGTTCCGACGGCAATAACCTAAGAACCTGACTATGTTTTTATGGCGGATTGAACCAAGAGTTTTTACCGCAGCAGAAAAGGAATCACGAACTCCACCTATTCCAATCGTCACTATGACAATCATATCCAGCAGCCATTATCAATGGCCAAAGCTTCTTTACAGCAATTATTTCCCCATTTTCAAGTTCTGCACGATAAACAATCCCTGAACAGCCATTTCCAATAACATTGGCTTCCACTAAACATTTCAAAACTTGATCAACTAAGAAATTCAACATCTGGAATGGAGTGAAATGCCAAGGTCATGAATCCCCTTCCATCTCAGAATCATTATCGTCTTCTATCATCTTCCTAGATCTAAAGACTGCAAAAGCCCCAAAGATTGCTAATGCAATGGTCAAGGTAACAAGCAAGGTAATAACGATTTTAAGGTTTTGTGACTGTCTAAAGCCACTATCACTTTGCATACCAGTTGCTACAGCATTGCTGAGGAAACATGACTCGTGGCCCTTAGAACATAGCCCTTGGTTTCCTGCCATTTCTGTGAGCGATAACTGTCGGAACAACTTGGTATCCGGAAGATATCCCGTGAAATTGTTGTAGGAGATGTTCAGAGAAAAAAGATTGTCTAGCCCAGAAAGTGCTAACAAGTCACCTTCAAGTTTGTTGTGTGAAAGGTCAAATATGGATAGCTTGTTCAATGCTGAAATTTGAGGTGGGATTACCCCAGATAGTGCGTTCCAGCTTAGATTCAGAGCAATAACTAGAGTTTGGATCTCAAACAGTTCCTCTGGGATTGTGCCAGATAGTGCATTGCTGCTAAGATCAAGCAATTGAAGATTTAAACAGTGACCAAAAGAGGAGGGGATTGCTCCAGATAAAGAATTTCTGCTAAGGATAAGTCTACTAAGTGAAGTAAGTTGGCCAAAACTCTGAGGAGTTGTCCCTTAAACCTATTAACTGAAACATCCAATACCTGAAGTCTCGTAAGAGAAGATAAAGAGCTAGGCAAAGAACCTTCAATGGTGTTGTTACTCAGGTTCAGCATCTGCAACTGAGTGCTTAACAAATTAGAGAGAGAAAGAGGGAAATTAGAGAGAGAAAAAAATGAAAAAATTCTATGTTTAATTGACGTGGCAGATGATGTGACATTGATAGTCATATCATTTTATGTCAAATAATTTAGATGAATTTTATTAAGTGATATTTTTATATATTTAATAAATTTTAATAATTTTATTGATATAAATTAAAGCTGAGTTACACGGTTGGGCACGAGACTATAGTTTTTCGAGACATTGTTCAATGATAATATATGAAATTTACTCAAGAAATTAATGATAGATGATTTTTCATAATTCAGTTTTAATAAAATTAATTAATCTAATCAATTTAATTTAATTATTAATTAATTTTTAAATTAATTTCGATTAATTATTAAAAATAATTTTAAAAAAATTATTTATTTTAAGTTCATTCATATTAAAAATTAATCAAAATTTTAATCAAAATATTATAAAACTTATATATAAAACTAAAAATATATGAAATTATTCAAGTTATTAAAATTTTTAATTTAATATTTAAATATTTAAATATTTTTATTGAATAATTTTATTTAATTTGTTTTACATATGAAAAAAAAATATAATATAATATAATTTAATATATTTATATTATTTAATTAATTAAATCAATTGAATTAATTTAAATTAATTAATTTTTAAAATTAAAAATTTTGATTTAATTAATAAAAATAACATAACATAATTTAATTAATTCAAATTTTAATAATTCGGTTGAAAATCAACTGCACAACCTTCATTTTAGAGTACGAGAGTTACTATACAATTATTAAAACAATCTAAAAAAATTCATAGGTGAATACATGCCTTATATAATAAAATGCCACTTTAGTTATGAATATTTTCTTAAATTATGGATTGAATCAATAATTGAATTATTTTTATTAATTTTGAAGAGAAGTAAATAGATTAAGATTTTGCTTTTATCACTTTAAAAATAAAAACTTATTAGGTTCTATTTGGTTTGAGAAAATGTTTTTATTTTTTTAATATTTATTTTTTAGAAAATAGTTTTTATTTTTTATTTTTTATTTTTTTGTTTTCTAAAAAATATATTTGGTAAGTGAAAATAAAAAATATTTCCTAAAAATGCAAAAATAAAAAAAATATTTAATGATATTACTATTAATGTCATTTAATTGTAAATATAATATATATTTATTAATTAATAATATTAAAAAGTGTTTAAATATAGTAACTTACAAAAATTAAGGGAAAAAATAATCTACATCTCTTATTTTCATATTGAAAACATATTTTTTTTTTCATATTTCAACCCATTTTCATTTTTGTTTTCTAAAAATTTATTTTTATTTTCAATTACCAAATATGTTTTCACTCATATTTTTTATTTTCTAAAAAAATGAAAAAAAAAAAGTGATTCTATTTTCTGAAACCAAATATTATCTTAAAATCTCATATATATTTTCTCACCCTTAAAAATTAAGCTTGATCCAAGTATTATCCAATTAACTGGAGAAGCAAGTTTAAAATTAAGCCCAAAACATATAAAAAAATGAATCTTGATAATTTTTGTTAAATCATTTTAATGTTCTTTAATTTTTTTCCTATTTTTATGATAATTATTCTAATATTTATAAAAATTAAAATTGATAAAAATATATTAAAAATGTATAATAAATTAATTATTTTTAATAATTTGAAAATTCAAAAAAGAGATTTTGATTAAAAATATAATTTTTAAAAATAAATTCTTAAGTTAAAAAATAATTATTGGTTTCATAAATTTATTCAAAGACACTTAAAATTCATTAATATGAGGATTATTTGAATACAAGGTTGTCATAGGAGCATTGTTAAATCTATCTATATCAAATGTTGCAAATATTTATAACCTTTTTCTTTAAAATTTTCTTTTCATGGGTTAATTAATCAATACAAAGTTGCAAATATTCAAATGTTTAAATATTTTAATTTTTAAAAAAGTATATATGTTAGATTAAGTATGTAATTCTAAAATATTTAGTTATAACTATAAAATGAATAAAAAATAATCATAAAAAAAATTGAATTCTCACAAATATATATTTATTATAAAATATAATTTTATTATTTAGTATACATATATTAAAATAAAACATAAGCATTCGTAAATATATATATATATATAGGTTATAGTACTAGCAAAAGCTTTAAAAAAAGAAAAGCATTTATCGACTAAAATTTATCTAATTTTACTTGTGATAAAAAATAGCTATAAAATAATTTTGGTATAGAACTCAATTTTTTTGCCTAAGATAAAGCAGTTTGTCCATGCGTGACATTCATTGCTTTTTGTGAAATGGTAATGATTTACTGCATTTGAATATTTCAATTTAAATTTGAGTCTCTTGCCAGCAGGATTTTGATAAATGATCTATAAATCCAATACAAGTCTCACTGATATCTCTGTATGCCTGACCTGAAATAAGATAAACCTTCCATTGTCTAAATTTTGTTATAAACAAAACGAAAAAATCAAGCCTCCAGCCCCACGAGCATCCAAATCAACCTAACGCAATGTGAAACATTGCATAGGAAACACTTGTATTACTTGTCCACGAAAGAATTCTTTCTAGGCATTCGACAACTACTTAAAGAGAGGATAAAAAGAAATTGTAAATCCAATGGAAAAAAAAATAGATCTGCGGTTCAGATGCAATTAGGAGGATGAAACTCTGTTTTGAGCAGTTTTTCTGCCAACGCTGCCAATTCTATGTGGAGGCCACAGAATGTGGGTGACCCTTCCTTCAACCAAACCCAAAGGAACCTGCAAAAGACAGCGCCGTTCATGTTTTAAAGCTCATAGTAACAGAACTAACAAGAGTTCAGCCTGTAATCTTCACTCCGTTTTATTTATCTAGTTACAGAAAAGAAATACTAATGGAAGAAACTTCAACAAAATTTTAACATTTGCCAAGTTGGAAATATTAAGGTATGCAATCATGGTGCAGCAACTTACGGGGCCAAAAGATCTTGAGTCTATGCTGGAAGCTGAGTTGTCTCCCTCAACCCAACAATGTCCTTCTGGAATCTTCAGCACATCGTAAATAGTCCCAACCCAGTCACCTGGCAAGCCGACAATTCTCTTTAAATGTTTCTCCTTGTGATCATATGGAGAGCTGCAAAAGCATGCAACCATAGCAACATCAGATTTCAGTAAAAGAACTATACTGCATTCAAGCTGATTGAGGAGACAGGGCACTGCATGTATGGAACATGAAATCCATATTTCATCAAAATACTTATGGAGCAACAAAAAAACCCAAACCTTAGTCGAAGTACCATTTTTTTAACAGAATAAAAAAGGCATTTCCAAGGTCATGTCAGATAGACTCATGAAAATGTGATTGGTAATACTATCAATTTCTCAAGTGTTTCCTTGATTCCAATTTTAATAAGAAGAAGCCCATTACAAAGATACTAGAGTTCTTCTATAAATGAACAAGAGCTTGATAACTCTGCTCCTAACTCAGCAGTGGTGGAATACAGCATTGGCATGCAGAAGCTAAGAATGAAAAGGCAACCACAAATGTTGCTTCGTTCAGGAGGTGCCCGCATTCGGCTTAACTAGTAATCAAGAGTCAAGACAGTATATGAGCAATATCAATGAAAACAATTACCAGAAAACTATCACGTCACCATGTGAAAATTTGTATTTTCTAAGACAAAACTTCTCCACCAGAACACGGTCATCTGCATCCAAAGAAATGATCAGCCACTGAAAATCAACAGTGATGCAAAAAACTTCTTTCAACTCTCTCTCACTCTCAGAGCAATACCACTCAATGAATCAAGCAAGGTATTGGTTTTGGGATTAAATGTGGGAGACATTGAGGCACCCCGGACTGCGACTATACTGGCAAATAGATCTGAAACTGTAAGCGTGATAACCCCAACCGTGAGGCAGTTCTTTGCGATACTCCATACAACACTAAGGGTTCCCATATCCACGTTTCCAACAACAGACGCATGTCAGGTTAAAAATGGAACCATCTGCATTCCCAACTGACATCAAAACCAAAACCAGAAAGTGGAACAAAATCCCAATATTTGCTCTAAATTAGCTATAAAGTTAAATCTATGTTAATTAAAAACTTCCAACCAAGCTGCCAATGAATTACAAGTTACAGAATTGAAATATGGGTACCCTAGAAAAGCTCCCTAAAATTTGAAAATGACAACATGGGAAAACAATTAAACAGCGAAATACACACAATCGGACCATCTACCATGAATTAACGAGTTTCAGAAATGACAATAGTTTGATCAGGCAAAACATCGAACATCTAGTTTGCTGTGGGAGCTGAATGTAAAGGAAGAATTGAATTACCTGGAGAGCAAAAGAAGCAGTCGGGTAATAGTAAAAGGCTGGCGCGAGAGAGTCTAGGGCTTTAGCTTTTTTTGTCCTTTTTCTCGCGGCCGTCGGTAGGTAGCCGGCAGTTGAAGTTAAAAACTGCTAAAAAGGAAAAATCGCCTTCGTCAGCAAAAGCATAGAATGAATAAGGCTCAACCAAACTCCAATTTCTAAAGTTAAAAACTTAAATTCTAGCTTGAGCATAAGCTACAATTTTTATCAAGTAATTACTTTTATATTTAAGTGATACTACATAAAAAATGATAAAAAGATAAAAAGCTTGACTAATCACTCCACTCCATCAAAATTCAAAATCAAGTTCTAAGTATTTTTCAATCCTTGAAATAGTATCTTATTAGAAACTTTACAACACCTTTACTTCAGGTCTTTAATCGAAAATTAAAAAAATAATAAAATGCTCATATCTCTTTGTGATAATATTTCTTTTCATTTATGATTTAAAATTTTAATTTTTGGATCCCAACATTTTAAAAATAGTCCAAATCCATCAATTTTATGAAATCTATATACTACATATAAAAAAAATTTCAAAAGATTCTGAGGCTACTACGTATACCGGTTTTTGTGTTGATTTTTCACGATTTTTCTCTTCTCTGATTTCAATGAGAAAGCCATCGTGAAAAAAAAAAAAAAAGAAAAAGAAAATTATGGCTTCATCGACTTTAGAACCCTGAAAAACAGCACATTGCTCCACATTTTCACTCCAAAACGCAACCCCAAAAAAGTTTTTCATAAAAAAAAAAAAAAAGAAATTTGCAGAGCTTCTTTCGATTTGAAGAAGCCGAAGTAAACAAAAAAAGGAGAGGAATATAATGGGTTAATAACTTTCAGTTTGTTTTCTAAATAGAAAATGAGTTTGTTCTTAGCAGTGAATTAACAAAGCTAAAAGGCCAAGATTTTAATAGTTTTTTTTTGGGGGGTTTTCTTTTTTGGTGCATACAGAAATGAGAAACAGTGACGGTGAAGCAATGAAGAGGATAAATAGAGAGGACAAAGCAAGATTCCGTCATTCTGACTGGAACCATTACTTCATCGACGAGTTTCAGAAATTTATCATGCATTGGAACATACATGAGTTGCATGTTCTTTTGAGTGGGATTTCCAGGAAAACTGGTGGTTGAAAGGCATGCCTTTAAGTGCTTAATATTATTTGAAGTTGTATAAGTAATCCTGTACTTTAGTTCGGTAAGCTCACAATAAGAAATAGTATTTTTAGTGGAGAAAAAAATGATCATTAAAAATATAAAATTTAATCAATCAAATTTATATCGATCAATTTTAAAATCGTAACTTTGTTATCACAAATAACTCCGTCACTATTGTATTAATGACAATATTTATTAAGTTGCCACAACAATTCTTTTTTTTACATGATAAAAATTTTGACATTAAAAGTATTAAAATATGTGGCAAAAATAAGTTATCACAATAATTCACTTTATTGTGATAATTTTTTCAACTCTAAAAAATTAAAATAGTGACGAAAAGTTGTCACAATAACATGATTCTTATGACAATAATATCAACTTTAAAAATATCACAATAGTTCCAAAACCATGATCACTAATGTTATTTTTATTAGTGACAAATTTTTCCTCACTAGTATTTATCAAAATAGTATCGGATGAATAATGTCACAAATATTTAAATTATTTCTTGCAATAATTATTGTCACTAATAAATTAGTTATTATCACAATAAAATTTGTCAATTTATAAAAAGACTATCATTAGTGACTATAAAAAATAAATTGTCACAAAAAATTGCACTTATAATTACAAAATAATAGTTAGTAAAAAGTTATTTAAAAAAAATTATTATAATGACATAAAAAATATGATCACCTTGTCTATTTAAAAAAAAAAAATGATGACAATAATTATAAATAAAATACCAATATATATGCATATATATATATATATATCATGTTTTTATTTCCTAAATCCAATCTCAAAATTACTTAATATCCAAAATACAATTATCAATAAAACTATACTAGTACTTTTCTACCAAAAAACTAAATAATTATTAAAAAAAAGTTTTAGTCCACAAATATGATAATATCCAAATGAAAATCCAAGCTAGAAGTCCATAGTTGATCCTAGTAAAATTTACACTTCATTATTTTCCTACAAAACAAACAAAATAAAAAAAAAAAGTAATGAATAGTAAAAAATTATCTTTTATAATTGTTGTTTGACATTAATTATTTACCTATTGTACTTACATCATTACTAGTGACTTCAAGAGGTGCATTTTGTTGAATGCAATTTATTACTTCGCCTTGAAAAGGTTGGCATCCTTATCACATATCTTATAGTATGCAAAAAGAAACTGAATATCAAGCTTTTTACTTTTAGCTTTCTTTTTAGCTAGTTTTGTATTTTGGTTAGTCTCTTTTTCTCTTTTATTAGAAGTTATATTCCCTATTAAAAAGATTTACAATTAGAAAACATATAGTATTATATACAGTTATATTTATCACTCAACTTAATTAAAATATTATTACATATATTTTTCAAATTCACAAAATTTGTGGAAGCAATAAATTATCTTTCTAGACTTATATCGATATTTAAATTCTTAAGTAGAGTATTAGGTAATTGATTAGGCACATGAGCAACTTGAGACTTATCTGGAATATAAAAAGTATCATGTTCTGCATCACTTGAATTTGCCAAAGACTTGCATAGTAAAATAGTAACCATTTTGTTTTTTAAACTAATTAATATTCAATTAGAATGCATAATTATAATCATAATTTATAAAATTCAAAAGTTCTACAATATCCCTTAATAATTCTCTATTTAATTTATTTGAGATAAATAAATAAATAAGGGTATAAAAAAACAAAGTTAATTATAAACAAGGATATCAAAGATAAATTTGTTATTTGTAAAACCAAACAAGCAAAGAATAAATAGAAACTGATTTTATAAAAATCATCCAAAATAGTGAAGAAACATAAACCCAAAACAAATATTTCAAATTCTTATTCAACCTCCTAAATCATCTATTGCAACAAAGTGAATACACAACTACCTATATTTCAATTATTTAATGATTAAAAAATTTATATTTTTAAATCATGAAAAATCATAAATTATAATTCTTTAGAAAAATACTTAATTGTTTGAATGAATATAAAAATAAAGTATGAATATTTTAATAATTTTGGAGACAAGATTTTTAAATAAAACAATTACCTCATAACTTCAACAACGATAAATGTGAGGTTTGACGGCAAAAAGAGTTGTTTATTCAAAGTACGAATATTTTAATTATATTAGAGACAAGATTTTTAGGTAAAAAAAATTACCTTAGCACTATGTTTGGATCGAGGGAAAGAGAAAGAAAGGAAAAGAAAATAAAGAAAAATCATTTTTTTGTTTGGATAAATTTTTAATTTAAAAAAAAAGATAAAAATTAAATAACTTTTAATTTTTCTTATAATTTTCATTTTTTTAATACATCAATTTAAAAAAAATAATAAGGAAAGGAAAATTGAAAAAAAAAATTATTTTTATAAAAAAACTATTATATATGTACTTTTATTAATACTAAAAACTTAATAAAAAAAACATAACTATATCACAATCTTTCTATAATTTTTCAAAAATTATATTTTTTTTCAAGGAAGTTTGACATGTCTTTTTCAATATAAAAACTATTGATATAATATCAATTATAAGATCAGACAAAATGACAAATATATCATGATTCAAGAGTACTTTAAAATTACAAGTAATGAAAGATTATAACTGAAAAAATTTATTACAATGAATCATTTCCTTTCTTTTTTTTTTTATCTAAATAATGGTTATTAGAATTATTTTTTATTAATTTTAATTATCCAAATAAAGAGTACATATTTAAAAAAAAAAATTTTTTTATTAATATTTATCCAATCATTACGTAAAATTTCAACAACCATGAGAGGTTTGACGGCAAAGAGTTTTTTCTTCGATACATTTTCATGGCTAGAGTTTCTTATTTTACTTCAGATGTTGTGCTTTTTAGTCAAATAATGAATTGGCACCAATTAAAAAATTCACCTCCCACCCCAAATTTTAGGCGTCAATATTAAATGAAATTAAAGACTTGTTTCAAAGATGTGAATACTTGATGAATATTTTTTACATATATTCTCTTAATTTTTAAATTTATTAAAAAAATAAATTATTAATTCTAATAAAATAGAAGCAATATTTATTTTTAAAATAGCTTATTATCATATATATATATAAGTAATTTAACTTTTTGATATGTAAATTAATAAATCAAATGACTCCTTTACTTACACAATTAACTTTTAATTTTATGAATTTGAGCATGAGCAAAACAAAGCGTTATGGATTTCAAATGAAGAAATCTAATTGAATAACTCCATCTCAATTCCAATGATAAAAATAAATTTTGAATTTTCATAAAATTTTTTAATAGTGACAATTTCAATTGTCACAGTGATAAATTTGTAATTGTTATGATATAAAGTTGATAATAATATGTTATATTTAATGATGACAAAAATTTTCAAACAAAAAGTAAGGTACCAAATTAATTTTTTGTCGGAACAATATTTATTTATATGTTGCCATTATTACGTTACTTTTCATCAAAATTCACCTGCCACCATTTTTGTGCACTTTATTTGTGACGATTTTATAGTGACAAATAATTTTGTGTCATAATAACATATTTATAATGATGATTTAATTATGAACAAGTTTAAACCGTCATAACTACTATTATATTAGTGACCGAAAAATAATACGTCACAATTAATTATTACAATAGTGTCATAAAAAAATTTCATCACAAAAAATCTAATATTTATGACAAAATTACTTATGGTCACAAGAAAATAGTTACTAAAAATTTTAATTGTTGTAGTGGCTTATTCTTTCTTAAGTATAATAGCAATTGACTATGTGATGAAATTTATTACGGCTCATATTTTTTTATTGTTGTAGGAGATTTATTTTTTAATTTGAGAATTTGTGGAAGATTTCACTTTTTACTGCTGCAGAAACTCAGATTTCTTTCTTAAGTTTCAAATTTTTAATCTTTGTGTCAAATCTTCCCCAAATCTTTCCCAAATATGAATCGGCAGAGATCGGATTTTATTTTTTTTACTGCTACAAGAGATCAGATTTCTTTCTTAATTTTTTAATGTTTGATTCATTTTTTTTATTTTTATTTTTTGAA